AGGGCTATCGAATCAAGGCACATGTGACCAAAGGACACGTAGCATGCGATGAGTAAACGATTTGTAAGTCCAAGATCAGAAGGGAAGAGGCCTCTTTGGAGATGTGAACGTGGAAGGATAATATTAAAGTAGTTGAGAATAGGACGTGAGGATGTAGACTGAATTAAACTGGCTCACGATGGGGTCCAGTGGTGGGCTGCTGTGAGGACGGTAAATAACCTCCACATTTAGCACACCCTTAGCCTGTGAGTCACGTGTAATTTATTCTCAAGCCCCTTACGTTTCGTATCCTGAATTTTTTTCCCGAAGGTTCATTAGCGTATTCACAAGAACTTTCTACAGCCAGCTGAATCCAGCCCACATCCTCAAACCATATCACTTTAATATTATTCTCCAGTCTGCGTCTACGTCTTTTTCTCTCCAGCATGCATTTGTTGTGCCCCTCGTGGCGAAGGGCGGTGTGGGGTGGTGGAAGGGCCTCACTTCATCATAGCTCCCGCAGTGGTTGTTTGGTCCACAGATAACTGCGTCACGAAGCAGGAAAATTCAATACTTGGCTGACCTAGACGGAGAGACGTTGCAAAAGACGATGTGTACCGCCGTACGTAGCGATATTGACTGATTTACAGTCCCGCGTTCACTGCGGAGATTTTACAGAACAATTCAGATCTATCACACGAACAAATATATTTTCTTAACGCTATCACCCAAAGTTATTACATAAACAATTTTCCCTTCGAAGTTCATCTAAATAATATTTAAGACTTCAGTCCGTACCGCAAAGAAAACGCAGCACTTTACCATTACAAAGATCGTATTTTTACCATTGGGTCAGTTGCGAGTGCCATTTGTGGTCAAGACTTCATGTTGAAATCCACGACTTGTATTTTATTCCAAGGTTGAATTTGAAGGACTGGGAGAAGTGTACATTTTGAAATGCTGAAACGATTTTTGTATAGTTGTAAATCCCAGCAGGAGTTTGGGTTAAACCAAGAACATCTGATTCGAACTATGTGCTAATATTTTTAGGGAGTAACTTAGTTGTCTTTAAAGGCAGATTCTGTTTCGTCAGAAAACATCAGCTCCGTCTCTTTGCATATTTCTTACATCGTTAATTTCGAATTATTGGTTATTATAATTATTTACAACTTTGAGAAATTGTTTTTTTTTTTGTTATCGAAAACTGTGTACGAAAATAGACCAGTAACGTGTGATGTTATTCGTGCTTAAATGCATTGTCTTCTGCGTGTGGATCAAGGCACAGAACACTTTCTTTCTAGACATCCTCTGGCCCCCCTCCCACTTTATCATCAATCATCGTACTTGTCAGCATCGTACAGAGATTAAGTCTTTCATTAGACATCATGAAACTTTTATATTGCAAAGTTAAGACAAATCGGTCGCCCTTAATACTTCAAACTCAGTATTCCGTTTTCTTGTCCTGCTTAATCAGGACTTTGAGCTAAGCTCTGGGATTTCAGATATGTTCTGGAATGGACGTTAAGCCGTAGAATTATTCTGTGAGTCCGCTTACCGGATTCCAGTCCAGATCGGCCGTTACTTTAAATCCATGTACACGCATTATTTCAGTACATTTCCATAAAGTTAGCTTATATGATTCACTCTTCCCGCATTGAAAGTGGGGTGAATATTTCTGAATGTAGCCTTCGTTCAGAAATGAAGTTGCATGAGCAGATGACGCTCCGAAGGCAACAGGATTTTTATTAAATTGCAAAACACATACCGGGTGATCTTCAGGTTCTCACGCGCGCTGTCACTTGGTAAGAGACAGAAAATGCTGGAAGGCTTTGACAACTAATTTACCTTAACCTGATGTTGTTTTCTTTTCTTGTGTTGGCAGAATTGTGTCACGCAGCTACGAAGATCCAGGCCTCATTCCGTGGTCACATGGCAAGGAAGCAGCCGCCCTCAGCGGCAGGAGGAGGCAGTGGCAAGCCTGGAGACGACCTCAGCAAAGAACTGCAAAAGCTAGACGCAAAGGTACGCCAGACGTTTTGTTTGTTTTCGCTTTGCAGACAAATAACCCGTTTCGAAGTCGTGCGAAGTTGCGTTTTTGTTACAGCGTAATTAAAGAATCGAATTAGTCTTCTCTTTCAAAAAAAAAAATTCCACTTATATATCGGTTTCCATGCCAATATCGGGCATACAAAATATTAACAGCGCTTGTCTGTGGTCTCTTAACCTCAGAGCGCCTGGGAATGAAGAGCTCAGCGGACAGGTTAGACATGAGAGGGCTTAAGTAATTTGGGAATAAGCCGTGTCGGATAATGACGAGTTATAATTTATGTGACCAGATCAGCTTCTGTGGATGAGAATGCCTACAGACTTATATGAGTAATCATCCTGAAAAATAGATCACTTGCAAGAACAAGAAAAAGATGGAGGGTAATGTCAAAATGGATAGAATGTTTTAAGAGGTACAACGGTCAGGCTTCGGTGTTTCCTGCCTGAGAATTAGTTATTATGGGCGCATTCAGTTTTAGCATAACTCTTTTTAATGATAATGTTTAATTAGTGCATTTAAAATAACAGTGATAATTTATGTTTTAAGTCGTGTGGGCCGTCTCTCTGACTTCTCTGCCCGTTCATGTTTTGGTTTTGGCTTCCAAACTGAGCTGCACGTCAAATGCCATCCTCACATCATTAAGCCCGTGCCTGTGTGTATATTTGCTGAAATTATCTGCCGTCTCGTGTTTATTAAAAGAAGGTCAGGGTTGAAATTAGGTCAGAAAAGTTTGGGAAATTTTCTCTGCTAGAAAGGGCAGGCATAGCGCAGTGCCAACCAAACAAAATAAAATGGAGTGCGACTTTTCTTGGGCAGGGCCGATGCTGACTGCACTGAGAGCAAAAATGCTGCTCGTTGAAACGAAGGCGTTGGTGAAAGATTCCGATGCAGGACGCGTTTAAAATTGTCGTGCTACGAATTATATTCGAAACCTGTTTTTGGCCCTCTTGTTTTAGGTCTTGCAGTTGATCTTCCACTAAGACCTTTCTCCCACATTTACCTTGCTACAGGACGTCCAGTATATAACAGTGGCTGATTTCTGTAATGTTGAATATTGTCATTTAAATGAGAAACTACCGAGTTCTTTTCATATTAATTTATATTTTTGTCCAGGAAAGTAATTTCCCGGAAGTACTCTGAGGAATTACATCTAAACTTTGTGTCTACTTCTCTCCGTTATTTTTCACGTCTTTCTTTCATCAACTGCACGTAATTGAATTTGGTTTTCGTTTCTAGTTCTGCCTTTCACTGTACCCGCAGTTGCTCAGCGCATGCGTGTATTTTTAATGCTTATTATGTTTATGTTCTCCAGCTAGCAAATATATTTGGCGTCGCAACAAATTAAACTTTGCAGCAAGTTTTATTATTGTCTTTTGAGTGAACAGTTTTTGATTTCGAGCATGCAAGCAGGCATGTCATTATTTTAGTCTTCTCTGGTCGTGTTTAGAAGCGAAAAGTTTTCATTGACTCCCCAACATCAAACATTTGCCAACATACTGGTTGCCAGTTTATAGAGGCAGTGTTGTTAAAATATGTTCCTTGCACAGTTTAATTCATCTCAAAAGTTTGGGATGGGAGCTGAAGCCGACCAATGGCGCGCGAGAATTGTGTGCTTCCAATAACACTCTTCTTCAACAGCTGCAATGTATTGACCGCCGGCAAACGGGGGTACGGGGTACCAGTGTCTTTTTTTTTCCCCCCCCCCCCCCCGACCTAGCATAAACGTTTGAACAACAGACACGTGTTAGCGCAGTTTAACAAACAGATTGAATATATTCCGTAAATTGCAATTTTTTAAATTAGCAGATTCACCTTAATTATTCGATTTCAGGTCTGCTATTAGATAGACGGTCCCCCCCCCCCAAATTAGTACTAGCTCAGCGTAAGGAGTAAAAATGGGGACTGATGGCTGCCCATCTGATGTGTGCAGTGAAGTCTTCTCTAGGGTCTAATGTTGGGTAAACTCTGTCTTCCTCAGTCGCCAGGGCAGATGATCAACCCTGATGATGGAGACAGACATTCTTCGAGATATTTTATAATAACTGCATCCTCGCACGATTGACCTCCTGAGAAGACTTTGTTGCGTTCAGCCGCTATGAAAATTTTAATTCTTACCTAATTTTGGCACCTAACCTAACGTTTTTATCAGGACTTCGCCCTGCAATCTGAAGAGTTATCCTGAATCACCGTCCAGTTGGACTGTGTGTTTTTATATTTTGTATCTAGCGAACTTTTCCGACTGTGGAATGACGTCGTTTTGAATGCCTGTAGCTTTTAATTTTTACCACTGAAGAAACTAGTAAACCTCGACATTTGACAGTAATGACAGTCAAAAAAAATGCTCTGGGTCACAGCTGCTGGACAGACGTAGGAGGCAGTGGTTTTACGACCAATCGTACAAAGCATAAACTGGAAAATCCCTCAACAGCGTTACCATGGCAACGGTCAGTCATGCATAAGAGACTCACGTACCCAGTGAATCATAAAGCGTATCCTATCATGTATTTAGATTAAAGATTATGTACAGGCAGATCAGTGTAACGCTAGAACGAAAGTTGAACACTTACAAGCGTAAAGGAACGCCTTTGATCACCAGGTCCAAGCCCGTTTTCCATTCGAATCACTGAACCAAATGTGGTCTATATTTTTTGTAGACGTCGATTTGTTTGTTGAAATGATAC